TTGAGGCCTCGGCGAAGCCCAGTGGGCAGGGCCTGTCCCTTGCTGGAAGTTGAGTAGATTGAGCGGGAAAGCCCGTTGTGAGCTCGCGCCAGTCACGGCTCTGTGATCTCTGCATCCTAGTGCATATCCATGAAAGAGGGAAGGATGGAGACGCCCAAATTGGCTGGCTGGCAGTGAAGAGGAAGTGACACCGCCTAAAGAACCGTTTTCGTGATCTGCCCCTCCCGAGCAGCTTGCCTTCCCAAGATGGCCCAAGATGCCTCCTCCTGGGGTCTGGGGTGGAGGCGTCCTTGGGGACTGGGAGCCTGGCTTATTGACCTAAGGCTCCACTGAGGCACAAGGTGGACCGGGAGGTAAGAGAGGCAGGGTGACCGCCTCCCCTAGCTCCGTGCCCCGGGCACAAGGCCCACAGGGCATAGCATCCCTAGAGGCGTGTTGCTGGAGGAACCCAGGGAGCTGTCAGAGACTTGGGTGCAGGTGCGCCCAAGAAATACTGCCCTCTCAGGATACAATAGGTTGTTAAAGAGAGAAGAAGAAAAAAGAAATGCCACTCTCGAGGCCTACAGCACATTTCCACACCACCCACAAAAGCCAGTGGGAAGTGAGGGTAAAGGGAAGCCTCTTGTAGAGGTCTCAAAGTCTGGACTGACACTTGAGCTACCAGGGAGCCCTAGAGGGAGCCAAACTAGACTTTAGGTTAGAAGACAGGGAATGTCCAGAGCATCCAAGACGTTCATCTTGGATTGGTTCATTTCCGCCCAGTGTTCTGTGCCAGTACCTGTGCTGCTCCTGGGGATTCAGAGATGAATTAATAAATTAAGTCTCCCTTCAGGGGTAAGGGAGAGGGGACCAGCAAATCTATAATTACTGTGCAAAGAAATGAGGGTTGTGCCAGAACTCAGAGACAGTTCATAAGCTCACTGGCTGCAGGGCCTTGACAGGGGTGAGTAGGAACTGGAGAGACAGGCAAGAAGGGAGCAAGTTTCATTCCAGACAGAGAACAGATTTCCAAAGACTTGGAAACCAGAAAGTACCTGCAGTGAGCAGAAGCCAAAGGTGGGGCTGGATGAGTGGGCAGAATGCTGCAGGCCACTGCAAAGTGTCTGAACTTTATGCTGACAGCAGTAGGGAGCCGTGGAAGGACTTAGAGCAGGGGATTTACATGGCCAGAATTCTGGGTGGATTACTGGATTTGACTGGGGCAAGGGTGAATGAAGTTAGAGGGAGAAGATAATAGTGGTGAAGGAGAGGAAACAACAAGCATTAGGTGAGTGGAACATCCTTCCCAATAACCTGTCCTGCCTGCAAATCTACAACCTTGAGGGCCTGAGTGTGGAACTTGTAGTCCTCTGCCTTAAGCAGGTTGCCGGCCCACCTATTTGTAACAGGATCCTGATACAGTAAAAGGTCCCAGAGGGTTGGCCAGCTCATCTGAAGTCCCTGCAGACATGACTTCACCCAAACCATGGGATCAGCCATAATCAGACCAGACAGCAGGCAGGAGGGAGGCCCTGGGCCAGTCAGCCCCTCCACTAAGAAGAGGCCACAGAGAAGGTGTAGATGGCTTGAAAAATTCACCCACTCATCAAATGCTCAGCTATGCATCTGTGTTCCCAGCCACTGAGCACCAGAGAACTCTTAGAAGAGGTTACATTGTAGGGACAGTTTCTGGCCTGGGGTAAACTGAGAAGCTACCAAGGAATGGTGAGGGCTGGGACAGGGATTGGCACCAACTGCAGGAAGAGTCACCATGTGTGTAAGAAAGTCAGCAATGGCTGGGAGCTCTGCAGGCTGTGAAGGGGCCTGCGCACACACACACACCGATGTATACATACTCTTTCAGCCCTTTGCCCCAGCCAAGACCAGGACGTCCCCCCATAAGCTCTTCCTCAGGCAGTTCCAAAGCTCCTGCAGGTCATCTGGGTCCACCTCCAGCCCGCTGAGAGCCCTGTGAAACCAGGAGGCCCACAGGACCAGTGCAGTAGGTAGAACCCCAGGGTGGACAAGGGCTATGTGAGTCACCATAAAACCACTCTCCCTGTGTGAATGCTAGCCAAGCCTGGGAATTAGGGAAAGCCATCTTTATCATCAGCTGTCACAGGACTGACCCTAAGCACCCATTGTTGTAGTTCTTCAGTGCCCTCTGAGCCAGGGGAAGGTACGGTTTAGTCTACCCCAGTCCCTTGTTCCACATTAGGCAAAACAGGAGCCTTTGAAGAAATTCAGAGTTTAAAAAACTTCTTCCTCTCCATGCCAAACATCCCCCTTGCCCCAAGCTCTTGGATTCTTCTGTGTCTGCCCCTAGCCCCATGCCAAGGTGGCCATAGGGGACACAGGACTGCCTTTGAGCAGCTCCCAATCTGGGAGGAGAGGATAAGACCAGCCAACTACAATCACAGAAAGTTAGTTGCTGAAGTCAGCACAGGGTGCTGAGAAGACATGGTCAGCACTTTGTTCTCAAATACTGAGGAGTTTGGACTTGGTCCAGAGAGCAGTCTCAGAGAGCCACAAAACAGTTCTAAGCAGAATAACACCTGGAAGGACCCAAGGGTTCAGGACTGCAGGTGGAAGAGATTCTTTGCACACAGCCCAGTCTTTTTGCTGTGGCCTTTGAGAGACCTGCCACCCTCTCCACTCTTACTCTTCCCTCCCTCTCATGCTCGTATCAAAACCATTTGTTCCCCAAACATGATGAGCTAAGGGGAAATCCTCAATCAAGCTAGCTGGAATGGATAAGTGTTGTGGCTACTAGCCCAGGGAGAGGTTTGGGAGTCTAAGTGGCCTAATTTAAGGTGGACACAGTGAGAACAATGGACAAGGCTTTCAGGCCTGACTGTCCCTCCCCCCCAGTCAGTCCCATCCTTGGGCAGGTCACTTTGAGACCAGGAAAGACAATACTGAGGTGTGCTAAAGTGAGATTGAGGACCAACATATTCAACCAGGATCCCTGCCAGACATCCTCAATTACAGAATATATACTAGACCTGCCCCACCTTCCTCCTCTGTGAAGGATTCTCTCCCTAGTGCTTCCCAGGGCCCTCAAAGCCCCCACATTCCAGCCTCTATCTTAATAGCATACCTATATCCCTGCCACTCCTACCCCAGAGCCCAGAAATGAACCTGACCCTGCCAGAGGAGGGGCTTCCGCAGGGAAACCATACTGGTGGGAGAAGTGGCCTGAGATCAAAGCCCAGTTCCACAGGGAAGGTAGATCTTAGTACTCAGTGACTTGGGAGGGGCCACTGTAGCTTCTGTCTGACCAGTTCCAGTAGGAGTATAAGAAAAGGCAAAGGGGGCATTTTGTTTTGTTTTTTATTTATATTTTTTTGAGACAGGGTCTCACTCTGTCACCCAGGCTGAAATGCAGTGGTGCCATCACAGCTCACTGCAGCTTCAACCTCCTGAGCTCAAGAGATCCACCCACCTCAGCCTCCTGAGTAGCTAGGACTATAGGCGCCTGCCACCACACCCAGCTAATTTTTATATTTTTTGTAAAGACGGAGTTTTGGCATGTTGCCCAGCAGGCTAGTCTTGAACTCTTGAGCTCAAGTGATCTGCCCACCTCAGCCTCCCAAAGAGCTGGGATTATAGCTGTGAGCCACCATGCCCAGCCAAAGGAGGCATTTTGACTGAGATTGTTTTTAGTATGAAAAATCAGAAATAAGCCAGGTGCAATAGCTCATGCCTGTAATCCCAGCACTTTGGGAGGGCGAGGCGGGAGGACTGTTTGAGGACAAGGGTTCAAGATCAACCTGGCCAACATAGTGAGACCCTATCTCTATAAAAAAAACAAAAGAAAGAAAGAAATTGTGCCTAAAGCTTGGTGACTGAGACTGGACCAAGCGTCGGTCTTTCTCCTGGGTAGAGACCTTTCTCTGGGAGCACTGGTCTGGGAAGTCAGTTAGGGCACCCTGGCATGGAGTAACCCCATTAACCATGCAATGTCCTATCAAAGGGCCAGCCTATTGTCCTCCAGTCAGCTTCACACAGGCAGAGGACAGCTGATCCCTTCTCAGAGGAGGGCCCTCAGGACAGAAAGGAGTTGAAGTGAGTTGCCCAAGGTCGAACAGCAGTGGCTCTGGGAGGCAGTGGGTAGTGTGGTATCCTTATCTGTACACAGAAAGGCAAGCGTGGGTGGCAGGGTGAATGGGGTCAGTGCTGGGACTGAGACAGAGGCCTCACCCACCAAACCCTAGACTCAGAGGCCAGCAGGGCAGGGGCTGCTGGCTGGCACAGGTGCCTGATCCTGTGTTAAGTTGCCACAAAACAGTGAGGCTCTGACACAGGGAGATGTGGGAGATACAGCCTTGACCCAGAGGGGAATCCTCCCCTCCCCACCACACCAATAGAACCTGGAAAAGGGATGAGAAGCAGCATGTTTACAGCTGAGGAAGCGGGGGCAGGACAGGGCAGGGACCTTTGGTCAGAACGCCCCTCCCAGTAAGCGGGGGAGGCCCCATGAGATGCGGTAGCCGTTTGTTTGCTTCTCACTGCCAGGAGGAAATTAAAGAGAATCTGCCACTTCCTTCCGCCCCAAGTGGGATGAGGAAGGCGGGGGACGGGAGGGACTGTGTGGTGTGATCTGCCAAACATATGGGCCCCAAATTGCTGTCATCAGCAGCCTCCAGTGCCCCACTGCCCAGGGCAGGCACCTCATCAGGTCTGAGCTCCAGGCAGCTGTCAGGCTTGAAGGAGACTCTGGGGATCAGACCAACACTCCCCACCCCACTAGACTAGTCCCTTACTGGGGCACCAGTTGCCCTGGTCCTTCCTCCAGATCCCATATCACCTCTCATCAGGACAGACAATTGATGCCCAGTGCCTTAGGTGTACGGTCAGTAGAATGAGCTTCTTGGGCCTTCCTGGCTTGGCTCCAGTCCAGTGATACCCCATTTCCCACCTCCACCAGACCCAGAGAGATGGGCAGAAGAAAGGTTTTGGGAAGCTTTAGCTCTGCACAGAGGGTGGGAGTAGAATAATCATGCCAGGACACAAGCCCATTTATGAAGATGCCCAAGGCTAAAGCAGCCAGCTGTGGGTGAGGGTAGGGGGTGTCTTTATTGCACAGTACCAATGCCAGGTTGGGGAGGTGCCACCAGAAAAGCTCCTGTTTTCAAAGGGAACTTGACTCTGTCACTCAGATCCACCAAAGGAGCCAGGATCCACCCTTGGGCAGCCCCTGGTCCATGGTCCAGGCTGATGGCCCCTGCTGGGACATCTAACTCCTGCCAGGCAAGACCGCAAATTGTTCAACAGCATCTGGTTCGTGCTGTGGTATCCACAGCCACCTTAGCACCAGACCATGGAGGGGTGACTAGGGCAGGAAGAGTAGTCACCAGCCTTCTAAGGGGCTCTCTTCATCACTTCCCAAGGCCACAAAGGGCTTCTTGCACAGCTCCCCAGGTTGTGCTAGCTCCTGAGCTCTGGAGCCCCCACAGTCTTGGTCAGGAGCCTCCCTCTTTCGCTTGTGCAAGGAAGGGTTCTCCTCACCCAGCCGACCCTCAGGGAGGCCCTGGCTCCGCAGACAGACGATGGCCGCAGCCTGCTCCGCCAGTTTCTTGGACTTGTCCCTGGGCAGATGAGACAGAGGGCAATAAGGCATGTAGGCAGGGTACAGGGCTGTGAGGCCTGACTCTACACACCCTTGGCAGATTCTGACAAAACTGAGTAAGGGGTCACCATCCAGGGATGCCACTGCCCACATATACCATCTGCCCAACCCTCCTAGGACAATGCTGAATGATGGGCAGAATGCCCACTCTCCTCCCCACCCCAAGCCTCCTTCCCTATGATAAGGAAACTTACCACAAGGTAGACTGATACTTTTGTTCAGCAACGGTGACAATAGAAGAGAACAGGCGGTCTACAGGGCGTTGAACCTGGTACAAAGATTAAAGGAAACACATGGCCAGAGAAATGAGCCCTGGAAGCCAACCTGCTGGGGTCAAATTAAAGGCAGATAAAAGGAAGTATTTCCAGCTTAAGTCAAATGAAGGCTGCCTATATCACATGCTCCTCCCAAGCAAAAGTGCCCAGTGCAGAAAGGCAGATGTACAAATAGACAACGACCTCAAGCGTCTGGAGCTGTCATGGACCTGAGCAAAGGCCAGCAGAGCCTTTAGCTGCACATGACTACAGAGCCTCCTGCTGACAGCTGGATAGGCCAGGTCCCCAAAACAAAGAGTCACCAGATGCCAAAAGGGTGAGAAGGAACAAGCTAAGAGCAGAGAAGGCACTGGCAGAGGGACCAGGTGACATGGCTGGGGCAAAGGGCTGCAGGCATGAAACTGGAAGGAGAGAGGCACATGGGAGGGTCTCAGGCTCTATGCTGAGGTGCTGGCTTGATTCTACAGACACGCTAGGGAGCTGCTGACTTGAGGAAACAGAGGTTAGATTTGTTTTGGAAAAGTCACTATGGCAGGGGGACAGACACAATCCCCAGAAGGTATAAACCTCGAGGCCAGAAGATGATTCCAGACAAGGCAGAGCAGCCTAAGGAAGGCACGGCCATGAAGACCAAAGGAAGTGAAGCAAGACTATCTCACGGTTTCCACTCCAGGGGCACCACATCTGGGGCCCAATTTTATGCTCCACTGGCTGAGGCCTGATCCAAAGACATGTCTGGGTCGGGCACAGTGGCTCATGCCTGTAATCCTAGCACTTTGGGAGGCTGAGGCAGGTGAATCACCTGAGGTCAGGAGTTCGAGACCAGCCTGGCCAACATGGTGAAACCCTGTCTGTTCTAAAAACACAAAAAGTAAGCCAGGCATGGTGGTGTGTGCCTGTAATCCCAGCTACTTGGGAGGCTAAGGCAGGAGAATTGCTTGAATTGGGAGGTAGAGATTGCAGTGAGCTGAGATCACACTAATGCACTTCAGCCTAGGCATCAGAGTAAGACTCTGTCTCAAAAAAAAAAAAAAAAAATCAAATAAATAAAATTTTTAAAAAATTAATATGGCTGGCTCATACCTTATAATCCCAGCACTTTGGGAGGCTAAGGAGGGAGGATCACTTGAACACAACAGTTTGAGACCAGCCTGGGCAACAAAGCAAGACCCCATTTCTAAAAAAAAAAAAAAAATACTAATTAGACTAAAGACATGTCTGGCTGAACTGGACAACAGGCCACTATAAGAGGGTGGGGGCTATCAGCAACTGAACTGGCCACCAGCAGTTTCTCCATGCCTACAGAGGGCAAGGCCAGGCTCTAGCCTGGCAAGTTGAGGGCATAAGCTGTGGGAGCACCGTAGCTGGCTGCAGGGCAGGACATAGCCAGGGACTCACCGTTTCATACATGGGCTGTGGCAACTTCTCCCTCCGGCACCACTCTAGCAGGCACATCTTGGGGGTGATCTGGGCTGAGTATGCTCTCCTGGGGAAAGGAAGGGAAGCAGTTGGGGCTCACCCACCATCACCACTCCCTCAGTCAGCGCACTACTCAGCCCCTGATAGGAGCAGCAGAACGAGAGGAACTGAGATACCAAGCTGCTGCCTTAAGGCTTCTATACCTACTCCCATAGGCTCCCATTCCTGTCCCACCAGCAGCTTGGACCTGGGTTTTATTTAAAGGGAAGATAAATTTTGGCATGTTCGCGAAATAGTGGGGAAAAGGGGGAATGAACTCCCAATACTCTGAGGTCCAGCCTGGAAATATAATCTTCAACATCCAAGAAGGAAGCTTGACAGTCAAGACAAAATCAGTAGGGAGTGGGTGGAGGTGGGCAATGGAGGTGACCAGACAATGGTCTCGGGGATCTTGCTCAGCGCCCACCCTGATTACGCCTGCCAAGGGTCAGGATCATCTGCTGAGGCCATGGACGCATGGAATCTGGTTTCAGAGTCAGTCTGTGACAAGGTAACACAGTGACACGGTAGGAGGGGACATATTCCAACTTCCCAGCTGGAACTCTCCCTGCCATCTGACTGCCCAACAGCTATCCCTTCCGCCCCAACCCCCCACACCCCTGCCAGATAAGACTGGCTCCTGTCTGGTCCTGGGGACTGGAGAAAGGCTCAGATCCCAGAAGAGGGCACCATTCGAAGCTGGGTCACAATCTGAGGCATAAGCAGCTTGAAAGGGCACCACAGGGCTGGTGAGGGGCACTGGGTGTGGGTAGGGGCTGCAGAGCCAAATGAGGGCTAGGGTCCTTCTGCTGTTGAGGAGCTCCATGCAGCAGCCAGCTCCTCAGGGCCCTGGAGAAGCACAGACTTTCAGGAACAGGAGACAAGTTCCCCCTGCCCTAAGTTGTGGGAGGGAGTGAGTTAGGGAAAAAGTAGAGTTCAGTCACTGAACTTGGGATAGACTTTCAAGAACTATCTTCCCTGTAAGCACCTTCTATGGGATGTTGCAAATTAAGAACAAGTTTCCAAATCAAGAAGACTTGTGGTCCCTAAGTTTGACATTAAGCCCATATAGCAGATAGTTTGCTGGCCCAGTGGAACCCAAGAGTGCTGGCCCCAGCCCAAGCTGAAGCTAAGCTGAAGCTAAGCTGGAGACCTACCGGTCAAACTTGACAGCCATCTTAATGACACCAGAGGTATCTTCAGCTGGCTCCCTGGTCTCCTCTGAAGTCCTGGCTGAGAGCTTGGCCCGCTGGGCATCCAGCTCCTGTGTGGTCTCCTCATAGAAGGCACCAAGGCCAAAGGCCTCACTAAGGAGGAAGAAGCAGATCAGAGCAAACACTTTAGTGGAGCCAGCATCCAGGCTACTGCAGAAACCCAAGGCCCCACCACTGAGCAACTCCTCTAACATATACATCACACCATCACCGGGGCCTGGCCATCAGAATGTGCCCCCTGCACAGCCCTGAGATCACCCTGGACTAGAAGATGGAAAGTGAATGTGAACCCAAGTGTGGACACTGGAGGGAAGCTGGGCTGGGTAGCAAAGGTTGTAAAGGTCACCCCCACCACCTGCAGTCTCTCTCCTGAGGAGAAGCACACAGATGGTGTCCCCAGCCAGCCATGACTGAGTTGACCAATGCTGATAAAGCACATGGGCCCATGGGAGGAAGAGACAGAGGCCTGACCACTGAGTGGTTCCCCACTTCCTGCCCAGCCACGAGCAGTTATACACGGTTTTCAGCTGACACTGAGGTACCACCCAGAGCTACAGAGTTATACTTTTTCTCTTGAGCTTACAAGGCACCTGGGTCAAACTGATTAAGCTATGTGGGGTAGGGATTGAACCAATGCCATAAGCCAAGGGTGGAAGAAGGGTTCTAGCAAGGGTTTTTTCCTTCTAGGAAACATCTTAAGGGCTGGAAGACTCAAGCGAAGATGGATTCCTGATGGCAAAAGTGATTGAGAAAGGCATCTATGAAAGAGGGAGGCTACAGATCACTCACGTGAGAGGAAGAGAGCCTTCCAGTCAGAGGACCCATTACAAACACAGGTGTGGAGGTCTGGAAGCAGACAGGTAGACAGGGAGCTGTGGGAGTAGTGGCTAGGCCAACTTGTAAAGGGCCTTAAGTGTCAACCATCTGAGCTAGAGCTGCACCTGATCTAGAGGACCAAAGGGTGGCCTCTCAAACTGTAGAGTTACGGGTGTGACTGCAAGCTTAAGCCAGAGGTTCCATTCTACAGCCCAATTCTTCTGACCACTGGTTCCTGGTGGCCTGGCCTGTGACCATCCCATTTATGGAAAAGCCCCTTCCTTTGCATTCTTCTATCCTCCTAATGCCCTAGTTCCCAGAACTCTGCTGATCCATCCAGGGATGGGACATTTCAAAGCTTTCAAAGAATCCTCTTCTGGGAGGCAAAGCTGTACCATCACTCCACTCCTCTACATCCACATCCAGAAGCTGTGTCCCTGGTCCCCTAGTGGAGTCAGCTTAGGGCTTAAAGTCAAACCTGGGCAATGTACACAAGGACAGATGGACATCTCATTGTGCCTCTTACCAAATTTCCCGGGAAGACTGGGCAGCATGGAGCAACCTTCCCTGGGGAGACTCCAACTGTTCTCGTAGCATCTGGCACAAGCAGTACTTAGTGTTGGTATAGTGGTTGTCATACTGCACCGCCTGAGAGAAGAAATGACTCACCTGATGCCCAGGCAGGCTCTAAGGCCTGAGCTATGCTCTAATGGCAGGGAAAGGGGTTCCAAGAAGGCATCAGAGTTCTGTGTGCAGCCAAGGCAATGGGACCCCCAAAAGAAGAACCACCACTGGCCAGGAGCAGTGGCTCACATCTGTAATCCCAGCACTCTGAGAGAACAATGCAGGAAGAGTGCTTGAGGCTAGGAGTTCAAGAGCAGCCTGGGCAACATAAGACTCAACTCTACAAAAATTAAAAACAAAATTAGCCAGGCATGTTGGTACACACCTGTTGTCATAACTACTAGGGAGGCTAAGGCAAGAGAGTTGCTTGCACCCACGAGTTTGTGGCTACAGTGAACTATGATCATGCCACTGCACTCCAGCCTGGGCAACAGAGCAAGACCCTGTCTCTAAACAACAACAACAACAAAAAAAATAGAGTCACCCCGACCTTGGCCATCTACTTCTCCAGATAGTGGTACAAAGCTTGAGGATCACAGCCAAGGCCCACGATCAGGAGCACGCTCTCCTGGACAGCCTGACTGTCCCAAAATGCCGAAGCCCCCTCCTACTTCAGCCACCACAGAGGACCTACTGCTAAGTATTTTCCAGGGCAGGGAGGGGAAACACCAAATTCTGGCATGGAAGGTCCAGTAAAAGGACAGGGGTGAGATTCTTCTATTCCTTCTCACCCGAAAGGGCACCTTCCCTTCCACATCTTGAATAGCCTCTAACTTCCCTCTACATGGGTAAAGCACAACACCATTTAGTTCACATGTGTTACTCATCACTACATTTATCTATACAAGTGTGAGGTGTAACTGTCACCATCACTCCACAGACTATGAAACGAAGGCTCAGGGAGGCAAGATGACTGCCAGGGACACCCACTGGAAGCCAGCTGGCTGGGGGCAGGGCAGGAGAGCAGTAGTGGGTGAAGGTGGCCTTACCCAGCCCTTCAGGACACCCTCCCATCCCCCACCCCTTAGGCTGCTCTAGTAACTCCACCTGGGCCTATGACTTCAGTGCCTGGAAAGGTTCCACAGCATGCTCAGGACAAAGTGGGAAGTAAGTGGGGAAGCCCCGGCCGGGGGCGGAAAGTCCTTGATTCAGCTTGTTTGGGAAGAAGGCACCTGGCTGGACCAGAAGCAGCCCTGCCTATGCTTGAAAGCCGCTCCCTTTCTCTGTGATAACACATCCTCTTGAGGAGCTGCCAAGGGACGGCTCAGCAGGAATGATAACATCACCTTTCACCCAGTGAGCAAGCTCAGTGCTGCTTAGCACATCTTCTTGGCCACAGACTTGCCAGCTGGCCAAAAAGCTGGACAGCTGACCTGGGCTGGGGCAAGCCCTCCCTTGCCATGGAGCTATCCCAGACCATTGGAGAGCTGGTGGTCACCTACTTACCCAGCAGGACACCAGAACCAAGGGTGAGGGCTGCAGCATTAAACAGGACATAGGACAAAGGCTGCCCAGCTCTGGACACGGACCTCAGGGCATCTTACCATCCCAGCTTGCACAGCCATGGGAACACTCACATACCATGGCAGCCACAGGCACTCCCAGGCAGGAATGGACCCTAGGACTGAGGAAGGGATGGAACTCTGCTCTGGGCAATGGCTGTACCCTCTGCTCGACTCAATTCACTGAAGAATTTCAGGACCACTCACTGCCTCTCCCTGTAGACATGTGCAGCTGATCATAGTCCCACAGAGTTCCAGAGCAAGTGAACTCTTCATTTTCTTTTATAGGGAAATGCCATTGGCACTACCATCGAACTCTCAATAAGAAGAAAGTGGTTTAGAAAAGGCCAGTCCTAGCCTGGGCAACATAGAAAGACCTCATCTCTATAAAAAAATTAAAAAATAAAAATTAGCTGAGTGTGCGGGCACATGTCTGTAGTCCCAGCTACTTGGAAGGCTGAGGCAGGAGGATCACTTGAGTCCAAGAGGTCAAGACTGCAGTGAGTCATGATTATGCCACTAGGCTCATGCTTGGGCAACAGAGCAAGACCCTATCTCAAAAAAAAAAAAACAAAACAAAAAAAACACCTGTTTCCTAAGTAGAGGGTTATGGTTAAAGCATTTGGGGAACCAGCAATAGAAAAATTTTAGAAGTGATTTTGACAAATGAATCAAATCAGGTGAGAAATTTCTCAATGGCTCCTCCTGGCTGTGGCTGCTCCTGAGCCAACCTATAGGCACACATGCCTTCAGTGATGCAGAACCCACAGTCCAAGTGAATGTGCTTTTGTATATGCAGCATGTGAGAAAAAGAAAGATATATATCATGTGTTTGGGGCTCCAACAGCATCCTGGATCTAGAAGGTCCTTGCTATGACCTGCAAACCTCTGGAAGCTTCAGGAAATGGTAGGGGCATGCCCCCCAGCATCCTCTCTTAGCACCACAGCTGGGGAGACCCAATACAGCAGTGAGCTAGTGCAGTTACACTACATGAGCTAAAAAGAAAAGGAGAGGAACAGCAAGCGCTGGGGGCTCACACAAAGTGCTCTCTGCAGGAATGTGGTAGACAGTGAGAAATGCTTGTTTTGAAAAAGTACAGAGACGTACATATCTGATGTATTTCTGCATGACCTCCTCCAGGGGCCGCAGACCCTCCTTAAGAAAGATAGATGGGTTCCACATGGCCGCTCGAGCCACCATCACGGAAGAGGCTGCCGTGGCTTGTCGAAAGTCCTCTATGTCCGAATACCGTTGGATGTGGTCATGAGATCCTCCACTGAAAAGCAACAGGAGGCTTAGGGGTGTCCCAGTCATGGAACCTATCAGCATTTTCAGAAAAAGGCAACTCTCAGATCTGCCACTGATTAACAATGGGAATTTGGCTAAGTCCCTTCAGCTATCAGCGCTTCAGTAAAGTGGAGATTAGAATCCATATCCCGGGGCAAGGGGGCAAAAAAAAAAAGGCGGGGGGGGGAAAAAAAAAAGAATCCATATCCCATTATGAAGTTAGGAGCACTAACTGAGATAATATATGTAAAGTGCCAGGCACTTAACAGGTAATCCAGGAAATTTACTTTCCTTGCCCCTCATCTAAAACAGTGGCTACAGCCAGCCCACATCTGGAGACCTGGGTCTATTACTGGGCTATTGGGGCTACATGAAAACCCCCAAGCTGAATGCACCACTTATATGTTCTCTGAGGGCTAAGTCAAAACCCTGGCGAGGGGAACAGATACCTTAGTGATTACGAGAGGAAGGAAGGAGGCCCAGTTAGGTCATACTTTGCCCTCCCCACAGCCTGCTGCTCCAAGAATCCCCTGCTCCGTCTCCATACATTTCATCAGGAATCAGGTGGCAGCCTCAGTCCAGAGACAGGTATGCAGAGGGGAGGGTCTTAGGTGGCAGCTGAAGCAACAGGGTCTGGGATCTTGTGGGAAGCCGTGCTCTTTCCAAACCACCCCAAAACTTTTCACTCTAGGGAAGGCTGGGCCTGGCTACCACCAGGCCCTTGGCTCTGTGGGACACAGAGTACATGATGAAGAAAAGGGGCTTACTTGGCTATGACAGGAATGGAGACGGTATCAGCAATGGCTTTGATGACTTCACAGCTGACAGGATGCTGAGGTCGCTCCTCCCGCTTCCTTGGAGATAGAGAGATGGGGCTGAGGGCTGACAGTTGAGCACCAAAAGCCATGTCACCACTCACACACGGTTACCTCAGCCAAACCTTATTGTCCTCCCCACTGAACCTCAGGAAGGCTAGGTGGCCATGTGGCCATTAAGGACAGGTGGCAGGGGATGGCTCTCCCTGATCTCTGGAGAAGAACTGTGACGGGCAGGAGTAGCACAGCTCGATGCTGAGATGGCAAGTCCAGCTCTTGGAGGCCTGCAGGAGAGGCCTGGCTGCATGGGGGGTGAGGTGGGTGGCCTAGCTCCCAAGGTCGTGTTGCTCTGCCCTGCTGCCTTCCCCTTGCCTCTGCCAGAGAAGAGGGACAGGGCCATAAGAGTGCTGCCCCTACTGTTCCAGTCCTGCCCTCTTCAAGGGACTGGGAACAGCTGCTGCTGCTCAGACTGGCCACTCCCACACAGCTGCCAATGCCAAAGCCAAGATGCACAACTGATCCTAGGGAGAGGCACCTGAGGGTAGGCCCCACACCCAGGGCAGGCCACAGACCATGGCTGTCACACCAAGGCACAAGGGAGGCAGGACCACAACCTGGGGCCCCTCCTTCCAAGGTCAACTGCAAGTTCTTATGCATGAGTGAGTTTTAGGGCTGCTGATGAGAGGCCTGACCTGAGCTGTGCTCAGAGGCAAAGCAGGCAAGACAGTCGACCAGATAGCCTTGTCCAGCTCTTGTCTGAGTATGACCCCTCTGCTATACTTTTCAACAAAAGGGTCAAGGGCCACAGGGCCTCAGAGGGCCCTGTCAACCTAGCCTCTACCTCTGTCTCCCTACATCCCCAGTGGTCAGATTTGGCCCATGCTAACAGCTTTGATAGTCAGAAGGGGCTTCCTCAAACTCACCCAAATCTGTCTTTCCAGTGTTCCCAACTACTGGTAAAAAATAATAGCTTCCATTACTAAGAAAATACTGGCTTCCACAGAAACTAGATAACCAGGTTTAAAAAAAAAAAAAAAAAGAAAAGAAAACACTGGCTGGGCAGGGTGGCTCACACCTGTAATCCCTGCACTTTGGGAGGCTGAGGTGGGTGGATCACTTGAGGTCAGGAGTTTGAGACCAGCCTGGCCAACATGGTGAAACCCCATCTCTACTAAAAAAAAATACAAAAATTATTTGGGCATTGTGGCATGAGCCTGTAATCCTAGCTACTCAGGAGGCTGAGGCAGGAGAATCGCTTGAACCCAGGAGGCAAAGGTTGCAGTGAGTCAAGATCGCACCACTGCACTCCAGCCCAGGCGACAGAGCGAGACTCCATCTCAAAAAAAAGGGAGAGAGAGAGAGAGAATACTACATGCCAGGCACTGTGCCAAGGATTTATATTCACAATCTCATAAAAGCCTTGGGACAAGCCTATAAAGTAGAAATTATCTTAATTTTCAAATAAGGAATGTTATGCTCAGAAAGGTTAAGTGATTTCCCAAGGATATACAGCTAAGAAGCAGCAGAGCTGGGATCTCAAACCAGTGAGTCTGAATCCAAAGCCTCCTGCCTTGGGAAGAAGTATTTTATTTATTTATATATTTTTTGAGATGCATTCTTACTCTGTCACCCAGGCTGGAGTGCAGTGGCACTATCTCGGCTCACTGTAACCTCCGCCTCTCGGGTTCAAGTGATTCTCCTATCTCAGCCTCCTGAGTAGCAGGGACTACAGGCGCCTGCCACCACAACCAGCTAATTTTTTGTATTTTTAGTAGAGAAGGGGTTTCGCCATGTTAACCAGGATGGTCTCAATTTCCTAACTTTGTGATCTGCCCACCTCAGCCTCCCAAAGTGCTGGGATTACAGGCATGAGCCACCGTGCCTCGTGAGAAGAAGCATTTGTGTACATGTATGTACTCCTCCCTCCTGGCTTCGACCTAAGCAGCTCTGCTTTGCTCTGCTTTGTACGATGGGAGTTCTGGGTTCCCTTCTCTAAAAATGCTGTAAGAGCACAATCAACAACCTGGGCTCTTCCTGTAAGATCCTTAAGCCCAAAGGAACATCACTTAGAGAAGAGAAGTCACTCTGGCCCAGGTCTACTGATCCGAGATTCTGTAAAAGTACATCCTGGACACAGGAAACAAGTACAACTGATAAGCCAAGGGTGGCCTTCAGAACCTCAGCTCTCAGCAAAGAGTACATTAGCTACAGCTAGAAGGATTGTTTAGTCATTGTGATATCTGGCAGTCCAACAAATGCAGACAAGAGAGGCAGAGCCTTTAGGCCAGGTGCGGTGGCTCACGCCTATAATCTCAGCACTTTGGGAGGCCGAGGCAAGTGGATCACGAGGTCAAGAGTTCGAGGCCATCCTGGTCAACAGGGTGAAACCTCGTCTCTAAAAATACAAAAATTAGCTGGGCATGATGGTGCACACCTGTAGTCCCAGCTACTTGGGAGGCTGAGGCAGGAGAATTGCTTGAACACAGGAGACGGAGGTTGCAGTGAGCCGAGATTGCACCATTGCACTCCAGCCTGGGTAACAAGAGCAAAACTCTGTCTCAAAAAATAAAAAAAAAAGAAAAAGAGAAAAAAAAAGAGATGTAGAGCCTTTAAAAGAATAGGCCAGGTGCAGTGGCTCACGCCTGTAATCCCAGCACTTTGGGGGGCTGAGGCAGGAGAATCACTTGAGCCCAGGAGTTTGAGACCAGCCTACGGAACATAAGGAAATCCCATCACTACAAAAAAAATTAAAAATTAGCCAGGCATGGTGGCATGCACCGTAGTTTCAGCTACTTAGGAGGATTGCTTGAGCCCAGGAGTTTGAGGCTGCAGTGAGCTATGATTGTGCCACTTCACTCCAGCCTGGGTAACAGAGCAAGAGTGTCTCGAAAAACAAGAATGAAAAACAAATAAACACAGCAATCTGTCTGTGATTATTCAATGGAGAAGTCATTGTTCAATATAACAGAAAGAAATTGAGGCTGGGCCCAGTGGCTCATTCCTGTAATCCCAGCACTTTGGGAAGCTGAGGTGAGTGGATCACCTGAGATCAGGAGTTCGAGACCAGCCTGGCCAACATGGTGAGACCCGCTCTCTATTAAAAATACAAAAATTAGCTGGGCATGGTGGAACACACCTGTAATCTCAGCTACTCGGGAGGCTGACGCAGGAAAATCACTTGAACCCAGGAGATAGAGATTACAGTGAGCCAAGACTGTGCCGCTGCACTCTAGCCTGGGCGACAGAGTGAGACTCCACCGAGGCAGAAAGAGAGAGAGAGGAAAGAAGAAAAAGGACGGACGGAAAGGAGGGAGAGAGGGAGGGAAGGAAGGAGAAAGAGAGGGAGGGAGGGAGGTTGGTTTTCTCATGAAGGTCAGAATTCCATCATGTACTGGCTACATGGTATGATTTTGAGCAAATCACTCAATCTCTAGCATTTACACATCCTGATGTAGAGATGTTTCTCCTTTCTTAGTTTCACTGCGTCTCTAAACCTCAGTACCTACCCACAACAGGCACTCCATGAATGAAACAAAGGCAAACCCAAGCCCATTCAGGGTCTGCCTGTCCTCAAGACCCATAGGATGTCAAACAGCTAGGAAGAGGTAGGCTGAATATGTAAAAGAGAAATTGATTGTCACTTGGGGTGACAGATCAACTAAGGAAGGGTCACTAAGATGGGTGAGAACCTCCCTGGCAGTCAGTCACTAGAAAGGTGACCACTCACCTCCCATGAACCGCAATGGCAGCAATGCCAGTCCTCTCTATCCGTTTCACAAGGCTCAGGGTATCTTCCAGCTGAGGAAGAGGATCACACAGGATGGTTACTGAAGCTCCTGGAAGGAACAGCTGCTGGCTTCTAAAGTAGGCTCAACTCCATTCTCTCCTCCCAGGCTAATTTAACACCTCAAGAATCATTCACAAACCCAAATCCAACATCACCAGAGAAGATGGACCTTCAAATGTAACACACCATCCTTACCGATGGCAGGATGCGAATCTTGCAGGTCACAGGTCTGCGTGTCCCTTTAACAAGAGTGCTGAGGATCTGCAGAGAGGAAAACACAAGACCACCTAAGGCTTCTGGGACAAACCGCTACAGGACTGTACTAATTAACTCTGCTACAGACTGTGCATTCTGGTGCATGAACAGTTTGTGTATGTGTGAATGCATGTGTGTGTTTGTTACACACATATACAACATAAGCTCCATGAGGCAAAGGGCTTGTCTTTGTTCTACACTGGAGCCCCAGTACCTGCCTTGCACCTAGTGGTGTATACATATTTGTCAAATATACTGAATGAATGAGTGAACGGGTATGCGTGCACACCAGTGTGCAGCTCAGTGAGCCTTTGCCTGGACAAATACCAGAATTATATGGAGAGCCGAAGAAATACAAACTGTTGGCCGGGCGCGGTGGCTCAAGCCTGTAATCCCAGCACTTTGGGAGGCCAAGGCGGGTGGATCACGAGGTCAAGAGATCGAGACCATCCTGGCCAACATGGTGAAACCCCGTCTCTACTAAAAATACAAAAAGTTAGCTGGGCATGGTGGTGCGTGCCTGTAATCCCAGCTACTCAGGAGGCTGAGGCAGGAGAATTGCCTGAACCCAGGAGGCGGAGGTTGCGGTGAGCCGAGATCATGCCATTGCACTCCAGCCTGGGTAACATGAGTGAAACTCCGTCTCAAAAAAAAAAAAAAAAAAAAAAAAAAAAAAAACTCTCAAAAAAAAAAAAAAAAAAAAAAAAAGAAATACAAACTGTTGAATTCCACACTGTTATTTCCTGAATGAGTATCTAGGGGCAGGGCTTAGGAATGTGTGTTTTCAAAAGGCTCTGCCCAATATGCTCCATCCCGTCCTCAGTATCATTCTGACCTAGTCTTGGTTAAGAACACATGGCTGAAAATGAAAAAAAGAACAACACATAGCTGACTGGGTGTGGTGGTTCACACCTGTAATCCCAACGCTTTGAGAGGCTAAGGTGGTAAGATTGCTTGAAGTCAGCATTTTGAGACCAGCCTGGGCAACACAGCAAGACCCTGTTCCCTTTTTGTTTGTTTGTTTGTTTGCTTTGTTTTGAGACAGGGTCTGGCTCTGTTGCCCAGGCTGGAGTAAAGTGGCACAATCTTGGCTCACTGTAACCTCTGCCTCCCAGCTCAGGCCATCCTCCCACCTCAGCCTCCAGAATAGCTGGGACCACCATGTTGGCCAGGCTGGTCTCGAACTCCTGAGCTCAAGTGATCCACCTGCTTCAGCCTCTCAAAGTCCTGGGATTACAGTCATCCACCTGCTTCAGCCTCTCAAAGTCCTGGGATTACAGTCCTGGGATTACAGGAGCCACTGTACCTAGTCCATCTCTGTTTCTATTAAAAAAAAAAAAAAAGAAAGAAAGAAAGAAGGGAAGGGCAAACAGCTTCTTTCCTGGGTGAAAAGATTGTTCCCTGAGTGTTGTTCCAGGACTTGCAGGGTGAGGGAACAGGAAGGCTTTTAAGGGCCTGCATTCCCCTTTAGGGGAGTCAGGTATACATGAGCGAAATTGGCAAAGGAAAAGACAATGTACTTAACATATTTAAAAGTGCTTATCACATAGCAATTGCAAAAGATTTCAAAGAAAGATCAAGAAGTCATGCAGGAAAGTAACAGGGCGGTAGGAAGACCAGACCATACAAGAATTAGAGATAGAGAGGTGTAGATGACACTGCATGGCATTGCTATCTTCTTTCCTCATCAAAAATTTCAGGCCAGGCAAACTGGAAGAAAGATGATCCCAAGAACCCTCTTCCAATAACTGGATCTCTGTCTAGCAGAGCAGGGGGATATCTAAGTGGCTGCTGCTAGTTTTAATTCTAGACAGGCAGAGGCAGCAGAGAGTCAGGTTGCAAAAACCAGTAACGGAGGCCTTTCAGGGACATGCCAGAAGACATCAGACCAAGAGGCTGGGCTGACAGACAGGTAGACAGTTCGTGAGCAAGACAGGACCTGCTGGCCCCATTGCCAGGAACTACCAGGAAGGAACAGTCCCCAGGTGCTGCCCCAGGAGGCAGACTGGGCCTGAGGTCTTAGGGTCACCCTGGCAGGCCTTAAAGAGGCACTTACTTTTTAAGGGGGGGACTGTCAGGTTCATCAAGAAATACAATAAAAATTCTCATTCTAATCCCATCCTTCATGCTCAAAGCAACATCTCTGAAAGGTTCCTTTACAAGTGCTCACTTAGAATCCTCTGACATTTGTCAATTTAAGCAACACCAGCTGGTCTGATCCAATTCTCTATCTTGTAGAACTTCCTTTCGCTGTATTTTATCCAAGTAGCTTTAAGTACTCTCTTCAGTATTTCTGTGTGTTTCGTGTGTTTTAAGGACGAGGAAGGAAATTAGGTAACCAAAACCCTAGCCACTTGCAAGGGTCACACTGAGGGGAAATGGCAACTAGAGACTGTCTACTGGCCAGGCTCTAGCATGAAACTCTCCTGAATGCCAGCTCTCCAGATCCAAGTCTTTGGGGAGAAAGAATGAGAGACAGTTCCATATATGAGCAGAAGAACAGCACATCTACCTACAAGCGGGCTTGCCTCAATAGACCCACTGGCCAACGGAAGAAAAGCAGATTCCTTCACTCCCCTGGTTTCTGGGAGGCAGCAGGTGAGAAAGTATAGGCCTGGAAAGCAGTGAGACCTGAGTTCAAGTCCTGGCCCTGCCAATTGTCAGCCATGGCCCAGTGTACACAAGGGGGATGCCCTGAGCACATCTGCAATCCCAGCACTTTGGCCAAGGCAGGAGGATCATCTGAGGTCAGGAGTTCGAGGCCAGCCTGAACAACATGGTGAAATCCTATATCTACTAAAAATACAAAAATTAGCTGGGCATTGTGGTGCATGCCTGTAATCCCAGCTACTTGGAGGCTGATGTAAAAGAATCACTTTAACCCAGGAGGTGGAGGTTTCAGTGAGCTGAGATCGCACCACTGCACTCCAGCCTGGGCGGCAGAGTGAGACTCCCTCTCAAATAATAAAAATAAAATGGAGATTCTTAATCCAGGGAGCGTATACCAGAGTTACCTGGTAGAAGCTTTCTCAAAGAGATTGATATCCCGCTCTCCACCCCTATTCACCCCAAGAGTCTGCAGAATTCTCAACAGATAGCATCCTTTGTTTATAACTGGGGTAAAATTAATAGCACGAAATTTGCCATCTTAAACATTTTTTTTTTTTTTTTTTTTTTTTTTTTTGAGACGGAGTTTCGCTCTTGTTACCCAGGCTGGAGTGCAATGGCGCGATCTCGGCTCACCGCAACCTCCGCCTCCTGGGTTCAGGCAATTCTCCTGCCTCAGCCTCCTGAGTAGCTGGGATTACAGGCACGCGCCACCATGCCCAGCTAATTTTTTGTATTTTTAGTAGAGACGGGGTTTCACCGTGTTGACCAGGATGGTCTCGATCTCTTGACCTCGTGATCCACCCGCCTCGGCCTCCCAAAGTGCTGGGATTACAGGCTTGAGCCACCGCGCCCGGCCCATCTTAAACATTTTTAAGTGTATAATTTAGTGGCATTAATTACATTCACAATGTTGTACAACCGCCAACATTATGTATTTCTAAAGTTTTTCATAACCCCAAACAAGAATCTTTGAGAACATTTCTAGAGGTGGTCCTGAGATACTCCCATAGATGGAACCATGGGCCTAAAACTCCAAGCCTGGAAGGACCCACAAAGCTCTCACCCAGGTCACCCAGTTTGCCAGCATAGTCTGGACCTGAACTGAATCCAGCCCCTACACCTAAGCCACACCTGGCTCTGTTGTGGAAGCATGCAACCTCCCCACCATGGGGCAAACCCCATCTATCAGTCCAACCTGGACCATCTAAATACCCAACCAGAGGAGTAGTGGAATGACCTAAGCTTCTGAGGTTAAGTGTAGCTCTGCTGCCTCATGGATGAAATTTGCCTCATTCAAAGAGGGGCAGTAGAGAGGACAGAGTCAACATCCTGGGTCTGAGAAGAGAGGAGACTGGAGGATAACAAAAATGCCTGTGTGCTCATGTTGTGAACCACATCCTCCCTGCTGGGGCCCCCTCTCCTAAGTGTGGAAACCAATTTGACATCCACGATGTCTACTTCCACTCCACCCTGCACAGAAGTGTCTAACGGGAGATTTCCAAGTTGAGGTGCCTATTGACCTGACGCTTATGAATTATACCCAGGTACTTTTAACCTGAAATGCTACTGAGGAGGGTGCTGACACTAGAAGTCAGAAAAGACTATGGCTCACAAGCTGGCTATGCCTGACACTTATTTACTATATGGTCCTAAATTATTTTCTCTCTCTGTGCTTTATTGTTCTTGATCAAATAGAGATAAATGCCAATCTTGTTTACTTTAAGGGGTTTCAGGATCAAATGAAAGGCACATTATGGCCAGGTGCAGTGGCTCACACCTGTAATCCCAGCACTTTGAGACAGGTGGGATCACCTGAGGTCAGCAGCTCAAGACTAGCCTGGCCAACATGGCAAAACTCTGTCTCTACTAAAAATATAAAAATTAGCCAGGAGTCGTGGTGGGTGCCTCTAATCCCAGCTACTCAGGAGGTGGACACAGCAGAATCACTTGAACCCTGAAGGCAGAGGTTGCAGTGAGCTGAAATCATGCCACTGCACTCCAGCCTGGGCAACAGAGCAAGACTCTGTATCAAAAAAAAGAAAGGGACATTATACAAGTACACTACAGATATAGTATCTCTGGCTACACATGGGAAAAATGAGAAGGCACCAAACCAGCAAGCACAGTGGTCTTCCTATGCCCCAGAGCCCGCAGGGCTGGAGGAACATGCAGGGTTGAGCTGCTGACACGGCACCCAGCAGCAATGTCAGCTCTCATTGGTGGTGCCTGAGTCTCAAGTCACTCTAGCCTGGGAAGCAGGATGAGGCTTAAAGCCCAGACAGGGAATTAGCGAAAGAGAATGAGAAGGAAAACAAAGAAGCTAAAAGGAAAGAGTTGGCAGACTGGGAGGGGAACACAAAGGATATGGATGGCATGGCAGAGAATGTCATCGCCACACGCCCTGACAGCTCACAATGCCAGGTAGTAAATGCCAACCGGTCCCCAGGGCCTCATTAAGCTAGCCTACAGAATCAACAAAGAAAGGGGAACAGAGAGATTAACTTCAGCTTGCCTCATCTGACGCTGGTCTGGCCTGCTCTCCAAGGGCTCGGGTAGACTCTGTCAGGACACAGCAGACCCACTCCTGTTCTCATCAAGCCCCCTGGGAGAGGCCAATCCACCCACACACATACAAACACACAGGGCCACTTAGCCTGTCCTCACCACAGGTGGCCTGGCCTCTGCTCTCAAGACCTTCCCAGAAGGGAGACAGGCAATACAGAAGAGGTTCTGAGTCCTCCGGACCCCTGGCTCTTTGTTGACATGTCCCTAGCTCTTGGCCTTTTAGGAACTTCAAGCTTGCTGTGGGCTGGCTCAGGGGTTCTCAAACTTGGCTGCACGTCAAAATCACTGGGAAGATTTTTTGGAAATCACTAGGCCACAGGTAGAGAAACTGGGTGGACATCAGTAAATCTGGTATTGGTGGAAGGAGGTGTTGTAGACAACTGTAGTTTGGAGCTGTATTTGAGGACCCCTATTTTCACCCATGTAGGACTTACCTTCTCAATCTTGTCAGGGTCTGACAGCAAAGCAGCTCCCATTCCTCCCTAAGGAGAAACACAAAAGGTCTTTTACAGCTGGGAGACAGCATGGCCCTCTCCATGGGATGGGGTGTGGCAACTGGGCACTACCGAGGCACTCACCTCCAAGGCACCAAGGCCCACTGGCAACTGGCACTTCTTTAAACTAGTAGGAAGGCAGCAGTATCTGTGCCCATAACATCTGGGACTGAAGTGTGACCATTTTTTTTTTTTTTTGCGACAGAGTCTCACTCTGTCATCTAGGCTCGAGTGCAGTGGTGCAATCTTGGCTCACTGCAACCTCTACCTCCCAGGTTGAAGTGATTCTCCTGCCTCAGCCTCCCAAATAGCTAGGACTACAGGCACGTACCACCACACCTGGCTAATATATATATTTTTTTTTTTGTATTTTTAGTAGAGAAGGGGTTTCACCATGTTGGCCAGGCTGGATGGCCAAGAGTGATGACTTTTAAAATTTATAAGCTGGGTATGGTGGCTCACACCTGTAATTCTAGCACTTTGGGAGGCTGAGTCAGGCCCATCACCTGAGGTCAGGAGTTCAAGACCAACCTGGCCAATACAGTAAAACCCTGTCTCTACTGAAAATACAAACATTACTGGAGTGTAGTGGTGTGCTCCTGTAGTCCCAGCTATTCAGAAGGTTGAGGCAGAAGAACTGCTTGAACCCAGGAGGAGGCACAGGCTGCAGCGAGATGAGATTATACCACTGTACCTCAGCCTGCGTGACAGAGTGAGACTCCATCTCAAACAAAAAAAAGTCATAATTCTGATCCCCTTGGTAAAACCCACAGATCTATCTAGAAGTGGGCTATATAAAACTTATTTTTCAAGACTACCCACTCCCTAACCCAGGCCTCCATGTCTTAATACACTAAATCCCACCATCTCCCAAGCCCTTAAAAAAACAATGAATCACTCTTCCTTTGAAATAAGATCAAATGCGCCTTCTTCCTGTCATACCCACTGCTTGCACAGGCATCACCACCACCACCAGCAAAGCCACTAAGATGCACACAACTTACAAACTCTATCTAGGCTTTTCTCTTCTGCCAGCAACAATATCCCAGCCCAGACCCATGCCCAACTCTAACAAAAGCCCAGGAAATGGAAACCACCAACTCACGCAACCACTAGAATCTTGATAACAGCAATGGTGGTTGCTCTTTATGGTGAGTTACTGGTGATTTTCCTGCTCTTTCCTGTACTTGTCTATATTTTCCAAGTTCTAGACAATGGTATTAATTACTTTTATAATGGCGGGGGGGGATCTTTAAAAATCTGAATCCATTAGGAGTGAGATGAAGCCAAAAAAAACCAATTTCAATAAATATATGCTGTCAGTATAAAGATTACACACTAACAAATGCTCACAGAATGTGCTCAGAAGTTTTAAGTTCAGTTATTACACTTTAAGGTCATGTTTAAGGATGACAAATTGGAATCAGAGAGGACATTAAACCACCACAGACTCAGCTAAGCTGAGCCTGGATTTTAAAGAAGAATAGATAGACTGGAAAATCCACCAACTCTGGATTACAATGGTCATAAAAGAAACCTTGAAGGCCTCAAGGAAGCCCTGGCACTCCCTCTGGCTCCATCTGTCCTTCCACTCACACATATCCAGCCCTTCCTTAGAGATTCACAGGATCTAAAATTCAGTTTCACTGCCCCTTCCACAATAATGACTTTCTCAACAATGAAATTTCCTTCCTTCCTTCCTTCCTTCCTACCTTTCTATTTAACTTGCTTGCTTTTTTGAATAAGTAAAACATTCAAAATCTAATTCAATGGGTAATGAATAAGAAGTCTCCCACCCTAAGGAATGGGAGACTTTTCAATCTACACTTTCTTTGTGTGAGACAGGTTCTTACTCTGTGGCCCAGGCTGGAGTGCAGTTATGTGATCTTGGCTCACTGCAACCTCCAAGGTTCATGCAATTCTCCTGTTTCAGCCTCCCAAGTAGCCGGGACTACAGGTGCATGCCACCACACCTTGCTAATTTTTATATTTTTTGGTAGATACAGGGTTTCACCCTTTTGGCCAGGCTGGTCTTGAACTCCTGACCTCAGGATCCACCTGCCTTAGCCTCCCGGAATGTGGGTATTACAGGCATAAGCCACTGCACCCAACCTCAATCTATACTTTTTATCTGGCTTGGATTCTTGAACCATGAGAACACAGCAGATATTCAGCTAGTATATACATGCATGACATACTGGTTGGTATCTGTTCTGACTGATCAGTGCCAGTGCTGTGCCAGTTAATTATTTTCAGTAGCACCCCTGTAATGGGAATTTACTACCTATGCATAACAAAATAAAAACTTATGTTTCTTCCCCAGAGGAAACCAATGTTACTAGTTTCTTGTGTGTCTCTCCAAAAATCTTCCCTGAATAAACAAATAAATATATACATTCATTCCCCATCCTCCTTATATAAATGGTATAGTACCATTTAGACAAGGTAGTATATAATTCTGCTCCAAGCTTTTTTCACTCTACAATATATCAGGGAGATCATTCCAAATCTTTTTTTTTTTTTTTTTAGACAAAGTCTCACTTGGTAGCCCAGGCTGGAGTGCAATGGTGCAAACTTGGTTCACTGCAACTTCTGTTTCCTGGGTTCAAGTGATTCTACTACCTCAGCCTCCCAAGTACCTGGGATTACAGGGATGCACCACCATGCCCAGCTAATTTCTGTATTTTTAGTAGGGATGGGGTTTCACCTGTTAGTCAGGCTGGTCTCAAACTCCTGATCTCAAGTGATCCACCCGCTTTGGCCCTCCAAAGTGCTGGGATTACAGGTGCAAGCTACTGCACCCTGCCTCCAAATCAGTTTAACTCTGCTCCTCACATAGTTTAGGAATACAAAGAAGTAATCAGAAAAGAGCAAAACAGGCCAGGCACAGTGACTCACATCTGTAATCCCAGCGCTTTGGGAGGCCAAGGTGGGCGGATCACAATCGAGGTCAGACGTTAGAGACCAGCCTGGCCAACATGGTGGAACTCTGTCTCTACTAAAAATACAAAAAAATTAGCCAGGCGTGGTGGTGGGTGCCTGTAGTCTCAGCTACTCAGGAGGCTGAGGCAGGAGAATCACTTGAACCCAGAAGACGGAGGTTGCAGTGAACCAAGATCACACCACTGCACTCCAACCTGGGCAACAAGAGCAAGACTCCTTCACAAAAAAAAAGACCAACGATACCTAAAGTACAAGTCCAGATGATCGTTACCCGCCAAGGTTTTCAATCCTGCACTCCTCTGCTTCTTCATCAACTCCCACTAGACAAACCTCTGGTCAAATCAAGGTACTCACGCTTCCATGTGTCTACCTCATATTCATCCCCAGGGCCCTGCTTATGCCACACCCTCTGATTACAGGGTCCGAAATCTCAGCCCAAGGACCACATTTCTCTATAAAATTCCAAATTTAGGCTGGGTGCGGTGGCTCATACCTGTAATCCCAGCACTTTGGGAGGCCAAGGAGGGTGAATCACCTGAAGTCAGGAGTTCAAGGCCAGCCTGATCAACATGGAGAAACCCCACCTCTACTAAAAATACAAAACTAGCTGGGTGTGGTAGCACATGCTTGTAATCCCAGCTACTCGGGAGGCTGAGGCAGGAGAATCGCTTGAACCCAGGAGGCACAGGTTGCGGTGAGCTGAGATCGTGCCATTGCACTCCAGCCTGGGCAACAAGAGTGAAACTCCGCCTCAAAAAAAAAAATTCCAAGTTTAAGGGCTATCTTTCCTCTTCCTTCTCTGGGCTACCATAGTCAGATCTTTTCTGATATGACAATGGGAACATTTGCATTGCANTTTTTGAGACAGTGTTTCATTCTTGTCGCCCAGGCTGGAGGGTAGTGGCATGATCTTGGTTCACTGCAACCTCCACCTCCCAGGTTCAAGCAATTCTCCTGCTTCAGCCTCCTAAGTAGTTGGGATTACAGGTACACACCACCATTCCCAGCTAATTTTTTGTATTTTTAGTAGAGACAGAGTTTCACTGTGCTGGCCAGGCTGGTCTCAAACTCCTGACCTCAAATGATCTGCTCACCCCAGCCTCTCAAAGTGCTGGGATTACAGGCACCAGCCCCCATGCCCAGCCCTTTTTGTTTTTTTTTAACTTTTAAAAGTTTGTACAGACAAGGTCTCACTTTGTTGTCCAGGCTGGTCTCAAACTCCTGGGCTCAAGTGATCCTCCTACATCAGCCTCCCAAAGTGTTAGGATTACATGTGTGAGCCACTGCACCCAGCATCCTCTCTTTTGTTTTATTAATGTATGTCTCAGATGTTTTCCTTTTCTTTTAATCCTCCTCTGGGCTCTCTGGGATATGTGTCTGAGTTTTATTCATGAAAAGACAGAGCCCTGTCCACTCTATTTTTCTCTGTACTTTTTTTTTTTTCTTTAAATAGAGATGGGGTTTCACCATGTTGGCCAGGCTGGTCTTGCACTCCTGACAGGATCCACCCATCTCGGCCTCCCAAAGTGCTGGGATTACAGGCGTGAGCCACAGCGCCTGGCCTTTTCTCTGTACTTTTGCGTTGTTTTATTACTTGGGCATGAGTTCTCTCTCTCTTGGGCATGAGTTCTCTCTTTCTCTCTCTTTCTCTCTCTCTCTCTCTCTCTATATATATATACACACACACACACATACATACACACACACACACAAATATATACAATTATATAAATATATTTATATAATACATAATATATAATTATATATTATATATCATATGTAATAATACACCTATATATTACATAATATATGATATAGTATATATTTATATAAGATATAATAAAAATATAATCTATATATGAACATATGTGTATTTGTATGTTTGTGATATATGAGTGTGTGTACATGTATACACCACTTAAGGGTAAGTTATATATACCATATCCCTTTACTCCTAAATATTTCAGTGTGTATTCTTGTGTATTCTTATTTTTTTTTGAGATGAAGTCTTGCCCTGTTGCCCAGGCTGTAGTGCAATGGTGTGATCTCAGCCCAGTGCAACCTCCACCTTCTGGGTTCAAGTGATTCTCCTGAGGGCCTCAGCCTCCTGAGGAGCTGGGATTACAGGCATCTGCTACCATGCCCAGTTAATTTTTTGTATCTTTAGTAGAGACGGGGTTTCATCATGTTGGCCGCGCTGGTCTCAAACTCCTGACCTCATGATCCGCCTGCCTCAGCCTCCCAAAGTGCTGGGATTACAGGCATGAGCCACTGCGCCCTACCTCTAAATGTGTATTCTCTAAGAATAAAGATATTCTGTTACATAACCACAGAAGAGTTATCTTCATAAGGTTACACTGATACAGTGTATTTAGCTAATATACTATGGGTCCCTATTCTTTTTTTTTTTTTTTTTTTT